CAATTGTTCTTTGTTCGGATTTCTTTTCCTTCTTATGCGAAAAGCAGAGCATCGTTCAGCATCCCATTTTTTTCCGTCTCTTCACCGACATCAAGCTTCCTCCTTTTTCCTGCTCTTCTTTTCGTCAAGCATCGTTAAGCTTCCTTCTCCGCCATTCAGTTCGCCATTGTTTAGTGCGTCATCTCTGTCCACCACGTCTCCTCCTCTGTTTGTTCTTCTGCTGTGGTGGCTGCTGTAGGATCTTCTTCGAGCAGCAACGTTGCCCTGTTCCTGGGTGGTTTTGTGTCGCCGCCGTTTTGGTGGCCAGGGGGTGCGCCAGTCTTTCCTCTTCTTCTCTTTCTTTCTGCAATCTCTTCTTCTTCTTCATGCTTTTGCTATTGTTGAAAGAGGTGAGGATTCTCGTCTTCCCTCCTCCTTGTTGGTTTTGTTCAGGTGTGTGGATGTTTAATGGTTGAGATTCTGTTTTCAAGATGCTGTAAGATTGGGTTGTTGATTGAAGTTAATGATCTCCCCTTTCCTTGTTCATCTGTCGTGGGTAAAATGGAGATAGAAAGTGGGTTTCTTCATGTTTGAGATTGATTTTTGTTGTTGTTAATGAGTATATTTGGGACGCTAAATAATTATATTTTAAAGGTGCTTAACAAAATGCCTATTAAAAAATTTGCTTATTTAGCAATTTTCTGAAATTTTATTAATTCCATTAAGAAGTATATCTAGTTTGGGTATCATTATTTGTTAGTATAACTTGAATATTGCAAATAAATTTTGATGAATATGAAGCTAGTATGTAATTAAGTGAATTTATAGGAGTTATATGGATGTTAGAAAATTTTTGGACAAAGAGATTTGAATGTTAAAGAGTATTATTTGGGGGTTGAAAATGATATGCACATTTGGTATTGATAAACGGTCTAAGAGGAGATTGTATTTTAATGGAATAACTAGCTAGGGCTATGGAGAAGCCTTTAGGTGTAAATCTTGGTTCTTAAACTTCAAATTCATTATAGTTAATTATTAGTTTATTTGACTTTGGAAGGGGATTTGTGTGATATGAGTAAAGGACATTGATCAATTCTCTATATATTTTATTATATAGGATGTTGAGAAGAAGAGAAACTTTTGGAAATTGAAAGAAGTAAATCTTTGAATTTAAAAGTATGATAGGTAAGTGAATAGCATCATAATTAACTTACTGATTAAAATTTTCTTTCATCAAAATATTATTTCTATTTTATTTTGTTTCATTGTTAGTAAATCACACCTGTTAGTATATTCCTTTTATTGGATTCTTTGGCAAAATGGATTATTTTCAACATGTCTCTTTTATTAGATATTTTGGCAAAATGACCCATTCTTGTTGAAATTACATTACGCTGGATTGACAAAATGTTCATAAGTGTTTAACTAAGTTTATTTAATGAAGTCATGCATTAAATTTGGTGAAGATATTTTGAAATATTAGCGGATTTTCATGCATGTTTGGAAATGAATTTTTAAAAAGATTCTATGCAGAACGTTGTTCCTAATGGTTGGGGAACTAAGTGTTGAATTATTGGCATTTGAAAACGTACTTTTCAAGAATCAATCCTGTGAAAGTAGCATAGGGTGATTCTGTCATACGATAAGAAATATTCTATTTCTATAAATTCAAAAAAGTTGGGGAAGAGTTCGGAATCAAGAAAACATGCATCAAGAAATTCATATTTTAGAACAACTTGGTCCATGAACATGATCATGGCATAAATTATAAGCGGTAGCATCTATTCCTATTGTTGTTTGATTAATTTTATTTTACAGGCTATACATTATGCTAATAACCAGTAATAAAGGGTGTGTTCTCTATTAATTTGATACTTTTTTTGACAATAATGGATCATATATTTTTAATTTATTGGAAAGTAATAGAAATTTGATATCTTCATGAAAGGTCACATTATCCTAAATCAAAACATTAAAGATCAAGTTTACAAATCATTTCTTTTTATTTTATATTAATTATTAAACTTAACTTTATTTGATATATGATTTCTTATATTGTCTTAAGTTTACTCATACTTGAAAAATCTAACTGATTGAATCCCTGCATATTGACGAGAAGAGAATAACCAGAAATTTAATTTATATTTTATTTTATGTTTATTAAAATAAAAAATTGTATTTTTTTATAATTGCTTATCACCAACTGATGCCGTAAAGATTTAATTTGAATAGTTTAAATTTAATATTAAAATTTGTTAAATTGGCTATCTAGATTTACTCTAAATGATTTAGATTTAAACTTTTTACTTTATTTTTTAAAAAAATATTTTTTAAAAAAGTGTTAGTTAGGATATTATCTTTATTTTTAATATTTTATTTATCAAAATAAAAATTATAAAAAATTAATATTAAATTTGGAAGGTTCATAGTACGTATGGATAATCAATTCATAAAAATCATAAAAGTTTTTAATATTAAATTGGATAATCAAGAATATAGACACTAGATTGATGACAAATATATTTATTAAAAGAATTTTATCAATTTATATTTTAATAAATATAAATGAAAGAAATAAATTTGGAAAATTTGAATGGTTCAAATCTCATCAAGTAATAAGCACCCAAGACAACCACACATGGATCCACACACAAATATGTAAACGACCAATTAGTTCATTAAACTTTTAACGTATACCAGGAATGCCTTCTTTTCATGATGTTCCAAAACAGGAAAATGTTGTCCCTTCGGGTACATCCGATAAAATTGGAAAAAGGTAACAATGATGGGGTTAATCCTGGCTCAAGACAAAGCAACAGTATTTTTGTGAACACAGGAATAACTCAAGGTAATTTTAATGGCGCTGATGTCCTTCTCAGTGGCAGTAAAATTGTAATTGGCGATGGAGGAGTGAAGCAGTCCAAGGATGTTAATGCTGCATAGGTTCTTCATTAAATTGAGTCTGTCTTTCAATTTCAAAAAGCAACAAAAGAAGTGGACTATGTCCCTTAGTTTAGATTTGTTTATAAATAAGTTTTAGTCCTACTCTACGCTGTTATGATTATTATTGATTAGTCTGGAAATTGTACGAAGAATACATTGACGTTAAAATTATCTTAGAAAATTCAGAATTAATGGACCTCATTGTACTCTATGTTTGAAATGTCGCATGCATCAATATGTAATATGATCAGTGTGAAAGGAATTTGATCCTTGGAAATAAAGTTATTACTGCGTGGTCGATAAATATAATAATAATAATTTATTCTCAACGCCAATGAGTCCACCTCTTGGTTGTTGTGTCTTAAACACCAAGATGGCCTCTTCATTAATGAGACTTATTTCCCCCGCGATTGCCAATCTTCTGTTTTGTTGAAGTGTAAGGACCAAGAAGGAAGTTTAACTTCTAAAATGGAAACAACTTCAAGAAGGCCCGTGTTTGTGAAGGCATTCGATTAAGTATTTTTACAGTGCTACAGAAAGCCGCCTGGATGGACTAGTCAAGAGTCAAATCAACTTTTCTGAAAATCTTGGTTCAAGTCCTCAGATAAATGCATTTGAACTGAATATAAATGTCAAAAGCATCTCGCGGTGCCCATGAGATGAGAACGGTCTCACATAGTAGGGGTGGCAATACCCTCAAGATTTTCAACATACCAAGCAATAGAATGAAAAGAATATTTTTGCATTGCTTCATTCATTTGGAAGTATTATTCATACCAAGCAATAATGTAATTTGTTTTAATATATGCATCATTTTTTTACAAATTACTAAAGAGTTTTAATAAAAATGGGTTTCCCTTGGATGCCCCTTAGTGTGACTGCATCAATTGGGGGGGGGGATAGAACGTTTAAGAAAATGCCTCAATAGTAAAAGATGAATTAGTGCAGAGGATATGAATTAATTGCAACCAATGTTAAAGTTTGAATTATTCAGAGTAAAATTTTTAACTGCTCCAAAGGAAGAGTTAAAGCAAGAAGCAATGGTAAGTGGAAGAGAGTAAGAATTTTCTACGGTATTATTTTGCTATAATTAAGGATAGCAAATGTATAAATAATTCTATGAGCCATGTAGATTTATGATGTGACCTTGACATGTATAATTGATGTGTTAAGATGCATAATAACCAATATGATGTGATAAAATTGTCTTGAAACCATGCATAAATTACATTATGCATGTTCAAGACTATCCATAATAGGCTCTTTTCAGAACAATGTTACTGTTTCATTGTATAATATACAGCAAACCATGTTCATTGCCATGAGCATTTTTATGAGCAAATTAGACACTCAAAGCTTTACAACAAGACCTAAATCAGGTAACAAGGACGTGTCAACATGGTAGTTTTGGAGAATGAATAAACTATACTGTTTGGAATAAAAAAGGGTCAAAATGTATTTTGATCATGTAAAGGACTTCAAGAGCTTTCAAGAGAATTTTAGTGCATCCTAACACAAATTATCTGGATTTAGTTATGATTTTTCAAAGCTTAGTGAAAATTCTGGATACCAAATAAGCAGTAACCTGAAGATTAATTTGTGAAATTTTAATTTCTAAGTTTCAATTTCTATTTCACTTGAACCATATTGCTTCTAATTGCATAATGAAAGGGTTAAAAGTGAGGATGTAACACTATTACACAAACACACACACACACACTAAAAGAGCATTGAAAGTTAGTTGATGAGTTCTTTCAGTTTTACTCTCAATTAAGTACCATTTGTAATAACCTAGAAAAAAATTATAAAGATAATATGCTTTAAGATAAAAGTTATTATAGTTTTATTTTTTGTTGTTAAAAATTTAACAACGTGCCTTGGTAGCCTTGTGGTATTCTCTTTGGCTCCCTTTCAACTGATCGTGTGTTCGAACCCTCTTGGAAGCAAAGGAGGAATTTTTATTTTTGCTATATCTTATGGTTAAATTTACCATTTTGTCCCTCTGGTTGCATCAAGAAGTATAGAGCCCACGCGCGTCATTTTTACTCATTCCTTCTTCAATCTCTCTAGAACTCACCGGGAGTGAGAGAGCTCTTATCGCCTCCCCACCCTCTGTCATTTCCTTCGTCCTTCTCCATCATCACAGCATCACTAGCGAAGGCCTCAAATCTGCTCCGACACTGGTGCGAGCAAAAACTTCGGCCATCACCATTGAGCTTCCTCCCTCTCTATTCAGCCACAGAGGTTCTCTACTCTTTCCGAACAACAAGAAGATTCAGGTGCGTCGCCGTTCTGGTGTGGCTATGCGAGTGCGTAGACATTTTTCCCCTCCTTCTTAAGCTCGCAGCTGCTTCTATTTTCTCTGCTCCAGCCATCACTCCTTCTCGTCCGTTCAAGCTGCTGCAGGGGTGTGTGAAAATCTTCCACTCCCCTGCGTTGCGTCGCCGTCGTTCACTGCTGTAGGAGCCTCATCGAACACCCAGCTTCTTCCTTCAGTGACTCATGTCGTCACTATTCTTCTCCCATGTATTGCTGTTGCTGATCTAGCTTGAGGGAGGGATCTGAAATTTTCTCCCTGTTTCGTTGTATTGCTTAAAGGTGAGGATCTTGGAAATCTTATGATCTCTTTGTCATTTTGTTGTGCATGCTGAAATGGGGGGCGATTGTGATCCTTTTCCCCTTGCTCTATTGCTGTGTATGTTTGAACAAGAAAGGAGGGATTTGATCAAGCTGAAACTTTTTAGTCTATTTAGTAATATTGAGTAAGATGAAGTAACATGGCTTGGAATTTTTTATTGAATTTATATTGATTCTGTTGAAAGAATGAAATTTGAAAAGCTGGGTTAATTCAAATATAGATATTGTAGAGTTGTTAGGATGAGATTTGAAGAGAAGAGCTTAGTATTAAAATTATAATATTAATACCTACAAGATGTTCCATAAAATGTTTGTTAGAAAAAATCTTGTTTGTTATTATACTTTAAGAAATTTCAATAATTTTCATGAAGCATATTTGGGGTGGATACTAATTATTAGTGAGTTTAATTTAAATATTGCAAGAGATTTTGTCAATTATAGAGCTAGTGTGTTATTAGATGAATCCTTGAGAATTGTGTGATTAGATAGAGAAGTGGTTATGCAAAGTATTGAAAGGGTTGACAAGATTGAGGTTTGGTTTTCTTTGAGCTTAAATTGGTTTTTAATGAGAAAATTGATTCATTGGGAAGCATGATATATTTATGTGTTGGTGTTCGGAAATATTTAAGCTTATGGTAGGTTTGATGGAAAAATAAGAATGTAGATTTTAAATATGATTGGTGGTTTAGGGACAAATCAAATTTTGTCAAGGCTTAGGTAAGAAATTGGGTTACTGAATGATTGATGTAGATTTGTGCGATATAGTTATTGCTAAAGAAATTTATTTGTTATTCTTGTCTAGGTAATAGAGGAGTTTGAAGATAATTGAGAGGTCTATAAGGAATAAGCTATTATCTTGGGAGTTTATCAGGTAAGTGGATAACGTTTCAATTAATTTATAAATTAAAAAATTTCTTTATAAAAATATTGATTTAACAATTTATAAATATTATTTATTTCTCTTGCATTAGCTCCTTTTGTTAATTAAATTGTTTTACTTCTTGGAGTCATGACTTATACTTTTTGGATTGACGAAAATACTTTTACAAATTTTAGTAGTATGTTATTTGATAAAGCCAACTATGAAGATTAGTGAATAATTTATGAAATATTAATTATGAATTTTCATATTTAAAAATATTGATGTTTCACATGTTTCATGCGAGCTTGATATTGAGAAAAGAAATTATACTTTGCAAGTAATGATTTTCTCACATGTTTGAAAGTGGATTTAAAAAGAGACTTTATATAAAACACTGGTTACTAATGACAATTTCATTAGCCCTTGGTGCGCCATGGTTCACCTAACTAGTAAGGTGCTTATAGGAGGTGCTAGCCCTGTACGATGGCCAACGCATGTGGAATGGAGGGACGGTTATTCATGAGCATCGTACTCACGTTTGTTTCATGGCTTCAATCGCGTTTGGTTAGTTACCCTCATGGACTGTGTGTCCATGTCTGTTTCGTGGCTTCGGTTGCATTTGGTTACTTATTCTCATGGACTGTGTGTCCACATTTGTCCTCGTGGCATGGGTCACATTTGGTTATTTACCCTCGTGAACTGTGTGTCCATATTTATTAATTGTTCTGATAAGTTCTTATAATGAAAAATTTGATAATTTAGTCATTTTATATCTCATTGGTTTTTTTTATTTAGTAATTTATGTAGAATTATTTATTTTGTTTATTTGCTTTCTTAAAACCACGTGACACTAATATTTGATCTAATATTTTAACAGTTTAAAATTCTATTTACAGTTATATAGAGCCATTTTATTTTGAAATTTATTAAATTTTTATGAGAATTGTTATCTCCAACCTATAGAATTGTTTCAAATTTTCCTTTTATTCATGTCCAATTGTTTATTGTTGGGACATTATTCACTAAAAATATTTTTAGTTTTAGATAGCATAGCTGATGATCTACCACCTATTGATCTTTGAGGGGCTCGTTGAATTGATGAGGAAACTTTTTGAGGATACCTTCTTTTTGATGTAAATGTTTAATTATGCACTATACTTTAAAAATCATGATTAGGTGCTCCATGTTAATTATAAATAGGTTTCTGATATGACATTTATTTGTCTGGTGGGGAGAAGCAAAGATCGGCATTTTTGAGTTAGATTGTATCTTGATGTTGTAAAGATCTTGGTAAGTCTTATTTATAGTAAAGGTTCTCTCAGAATTTTTTTTTTAAGTTTAAGAATCTTTTATTTATATAAAAATATTATAACAACTTTTCATCCTATTTTTAATTAAATTAAAATATCAGAGTAAAGTTTCCTTAATCAAGACTGAAGGGATGTACGTTTGTGCATATATCCCAGGTCGGTCACGTCTAATTTTTAGGGCGTGACACCATTATTTTTCAACTTCAATTAAATGCTATTATATACAAATATACATATTTCTATTAAGGTCTATACCTACAAATTGAAGTTTTAAAGTTTGATAATATGGACAAAAACAAATTCTACTTCGATACTGCAACGTACTGGATACAAATATAAAAAATAAGTGCAGGAAAAATTTGTATAAGGAAACTCGACGATATCTTAATAGCCAAAAAAATAAAAAAAATACCAGGTTTAACTGCTTCAACTTCAACACTAAAAAGTGTTACACTGTTGAAATGTAAATATCAACTACAACTTTTCCATTCTTTCCTGGTTTACCAATGCCACACAAATGCTTCCCATCTAGTTGCTTGCCTGTATATATGCCAAGATTATTTTATATCTTGCTATTGAATTCATGATATCATACTTTAGTAGCTAAAATGTTTCAGTTATGATTTGAGTCCAACAATTGCATCGTGGAGTAGGTACTCGCCTTCATCTATCTCATCTCTTTCTTCATAGTTTCCCAGATTTTATGTTCCTCTTCTCTTCTGGGTCCATTTCGTAGCTTCTTTTCTCATAAACTCATCACCCAAATCCTCAGCTTGTGGTGGAAGTTCTTGCCTTGATGATTTGATTCTTTCTAGGATTTTACCCGATATGTTACCGGGTTTCTCTCTTTTTCCTCTGATTTTGCTTGTTCCCCATTAAAGCTCTCTGTCTTGATTCGATTCTTACCTGAGATTGATTAGCTCATTTTAGCGTTTAGCCTCTGAAAGTTTTATGTTCTTCTTTTCAAGGTTCAGATATGGCAACCATAGAGACAGGTCTTCTAGTTCCTTCTCCTTCTGACTCATTGTTATCCCCATACACTAACGGTTACGCTTTTTTGCCATGGTTCGGTTTCACATGGCCCTGTGTTCTGGTATTGAATTGGATAGCCAATCATCAGAACTCCAACCTCAGTCACTAATTCAGCAATTTCAGTAGAGACATTATTGGGGTTTGGATGATACTGTACTTCGTCGGAGGCGGTCGCAGGTGGGTTTGGATTGTTGTTAGTGATGCGCAAAAGCATCTCATCCTCTGTGCATTTCTTGATCATTTTAGAAGCACCCTTTCCGATTGAAATCTTATTACTTTTTAGAATGCCTTCGATATATATGATAAGATTGCTGACGGAAATTTGTACGTAGCCGTGCTCAGGCCTTTCAATCTCATTGTTGCTATATCATACGCTCTAGCCTCCTCCTCCTTTGACCCAGAAATACCAACAGTTAAATTATACATGTATAAAGCAATGACCTGGGGAAGGATGGGATGATTTGCGGGAGACAAAGTGATCAGATTGAGGAAAATGGAAGTGGAAGTTTTTTTTTTAAAGAATTTTTGAGAGTTTTTTTAAGTTTTAATAAGTAGGGGTTTAAAGGTTTTTCTCCTTAAAATTTCTATTACACCTAAGTCTCAAAGGACTTGGTTGCACTTTTTGAATTTTGCGTGGCTTATTTGTGAATAGGTTTCTTATATGAGATCTTGCATAATTTTCTCATTATTTTATTACTATTGAATTTAATGATATTAGACTTTAGTACCTGAAATTACAGAAAACTCTTATCAGTGAATTTGGGATGCGACCCTCTTTTCAACCAAAAAGAAATTAGAAAAAGAAAAATATCTCATATTAAACAAATTAAAATTATTTTTGGAATGTACATATGAATTTAAATGAAATCAAATGTGTACACTACAAAAAAAAATAGATTAGCGACGGAATAAATTTCTATCGCTAATCCGTCGCTAATTTAGCAACGGAATGTTCTGTCGCTAAAATTTTATCATTATTTCATCAGTAATTTGCCAGAAATAATTTAGCAATGGAATTTACCGATGGAAAGTTCCGTTACTAATAGTTAGGATATCTTATTTCAATTTAGTGACGGAATTTGCAATAGAAATTTCTGTCACAAAACTTTCTATCATAATTCCATCGTTAATTCCGTCACAAATTATTTTTAATTTAATTTTATTATTTATAATATATAGTTATATATAATTTATTTAATAATTTATTATTATGCTATAAATAAATAATTTAAAAATTATAATATAAAATAATTTATTATTTTAAAATTACTTGTATATTATTAATAATAATTTAAATTGTGTACTTAATAATTCTTATTTAAAAATTAAAATAAAATAAAATAATTATAAAATAAAAATTTAAAATATTATATATTATACAGATAAAAATTAAAATATAATATATAATGATAATAAAATATTTTTCAATTTGCTATTAAATTTATTATCAAAAATATTTTTTAAAATAACATATAATAGAAATAATTATTATATAAATTAATTTTTCCATATTAATAAACAAATATAATGTTAAAAAAATAAGTAAATTTAAATACTATATTTAATAATAATTTAAATAATATATTTATTAATATGTGTGTGTGTGGTTAAGTATTATATATTTAATTTATCAATTAAGATTGAAGATTCCTTTTCACTCAACTAGCAACAAGGTGGATACAAAGGCACATGGGAATATGAGGTTGTAAGTTCGAACCTATCCAAGACACAATTGAAGGTAATAATATTTGACGTGGCAGTGACAAATGACATGGTGATGATGTGGCACTGGTTCACTGGGTGACAAGGACGTGGCAGTGACATGGCAATGAGGTGGCATTAGTCCACTGAGTGACTAGGTGGTGGTGAGGCGGCATTGGTCCACTGAGTGACGTGGCAATGATATTTTGGTCCACCTAATAAATTTGTGACAGAATTAGTGATGAAATAAGCCCGTTAGAAAATTAGCGATGGAATACATTTCATCACAAAGTCAGAATAACATTATCCTTATTTAGTGACGAAAAATTTTCATCGCTATTCTATCAGAAATTAGTGATGAAATATAATTCGGTCACTAATTAGTGACGGAATTGCAAATTCTGTCGCTAACAAATTAGTGACAATGTTTTTACCGACGGAAATATTTCATTGCTAATTCCATCGCTAATCTGTTTAGCAATGGAAAATTTAATCGATAATTAGCTGTTTTTTTTATAGTGGTAAGGTTATCAAAGTGTGAGTGAACTTGAGCCAATGTGTAAGTTTCATGTTGGATGAAGTTATGCTTAATTAATAACTAATATATAATAAAAAGGGAAAGACCCATAAACTTGAGTTTTGAGATTTTAAGCTAAAATATGAAAATCTCCTACTACTTAATTCTAACTTTCTCTCATCTATATCATGCTTAGTGGGACAACGTTTAAAGTTTTGGTTAGAATGTTTTGTACCCATGTACTTATTCTCCACAAATGGTTTCTTATTTCGATTAATTATCTAAAATAATTTTCTTTCAGCAAGATGTGTCCTAAAATGCAATGTAAATGACTGAATGAAAAAAATGAAGATGGCAAATAATGGGTGAGATGGAACAAATTTTGCTGAATAAAGCGTGAATCTTAATTAGTTATACATTTCCTCTTGACAATGCTGGCAAGTAGACATCTATATGAACTCTAAGGTCCTGTTTAATTATTAAAAAGGAATGGAATGAAATTGATTGAAAAATATAAAGGTAAAAATGAGATGATCAAAGGAGGTTGTGAATCTCATTCATAAGGGAGATGAGTAGTTTAGTTTGTAGGATTAAGAATCATGATTCATAAAATTTTTAGAAAGTATGATAATTCTCACATAACTAGTATATTATGCTTCCATGAGAGGAAAGGGTGATTTAGTTTATTTTTGTATTAATTTTTTTTAATTTATTTCATTCCATTCATTTCTAGTAACCAAACGGGACCTAACTTAGTCATAGAATTTTAAAAAGCATACCTGAAAATTAAGGCACTTCAGATGATATATTCCAAAGCGATGTCCGTCCTTCCTCACACATCAGACATTCATAGTGGCTCTGCAAAATCAATATGTTTTGCAAGGGAAGGATATCACTTCTTTATTTCGAAACTTCAGGAGTAAAAAGCAACCAACTTTATCGCCAATTAACAATAACAATTGCATTAGATTTGCAACAAGATTCTCATCCCATTTTTTATGTTTATTTATGTTGAAGTAATGGATAAACTAGACAAAAATAATTGTAATATATATATATATATATATATATAAAGCCAGATTTATAATTGAATTAGTAAAAAACACACTATTACGAAAGGGACTTTTAACGCTGTTATTGGGGGACATAAATTTGAAGAGTATAGAAAGTTGACTTACCAACATTACTTTTAAAAGTGACATGGATAAGATT